CTGAGGTAGCTCCTACCTCATGATTTAGTACGGAAATAATGGTGTGCAATAATTTAGAATGGCCTCTCTCTCTCCTAGTTGTAAATCTTCTTTCTTGGGAAGGAGAGACAAGATGTCTTGCTTTCTACTTGCTGGATTCTGTCCATGTTTAGGTGGTTTGAATACAGGAGACAACTGTTGCTGTAAATGCACAGCTCTTCTAGTTTCTTTCTACTGTCATTTCCATCTGTGCCAGTAGCAACTCTGTGTAAATCGTACAATACTTACTCATACAGAGAACTGAAATCCAAGGAAACATCTCTAGGATAAAAAATAGGAGAAGCTTCAGGCAAACATGCCAAATAGTGGGAATTTTTAAAAATTCATTAAACTCCGTGAGCCTTGGGTTTTTCTCCCTGTCAGTTCTGCCACAATGACACTTCTTTTTCCTTTGAAAGGGATGCGTAAACATTTTTAAGTGTGATGCTGAGTTACCCAGTCAAGATGACTGGTGCAGAATTTGTAACTTCAGCATCGCTGGAGAGGAGTCACTACATCATAGGCTTTTTAAATACAGTTTGAAAGTACGAATTCAGTTCTTCAGTTTTCAAGACGCTTCAAAAAACAAAAATGGATACATGGATTATAGCTCACACTTGCTTTCATACCTGCTGACTTGTAGGAGCAACATGAGACAAGATGTCAAGGTAACAAAGCCTTTTTTTTTTTTCCTTAAGTCAGATACAGTTGAAGTTCTGGGCACTTCAGAAAAATTATGGCACTTACTTAAGGGTTTGAATATGCAATTAAGTATCTAATCTTGAACCTGCACACTCAATAATATTGGACTTTGCTACAAAGTTATTTCCTTTTTATGGTATCTGCCAACTGCTGAAGTATGCATTAGTACATTTGGCATATTAATGCATTCTAGTGATGGAGGTACCTGATCAAGCAGCAGCCAAATGGTCAGAAAATAGATGTCCAAGGTGAAATCAGAGACTGCAGTAAACAAGGAAAAACTGCTTGCCGTTATCATGTACTGACAAGTGAAATCCTAGTCTACCATTTGACTTGAAAAACTGGACACAGTTGGTGGAGGAGTCCTTTATAGTCTTAAGACCCAACATTCCCTGTCATTGACTACCACATGTGTTATTTTTTTTTGGTCTTTTTGATGCTTTTTCCTCCCTTTCTCAGTCATTTTTGACAGGATTGTAGTGTGTTCCTGTAATTCTCAATAAGCATATTCTGACTTGCTCATAAATTAAAATCAAATACTTAGCTATTGCTAATACAGATTAGCATACCCGGTTAAAACGAGATCCAGGCTTTTCCCAGTTACTGAGTGGAGCTTCCTCCCTTGTCTTTCAGCTGCTCTGAAGCAGTGAAGGTAGCTGTGTGCTGTCTGTGCATGCTGAATTACTGTGGGCACTCCCCAGGTATTGTGGTTGCTGGTCTTTGCTTTACGGTATCGCATACCTATCACTCACTTGCCAGATTCTGTACACAAGATGCTCATTGAGATGTCATTTGAATATAGTCCATTTATTCCCAGTGGGCAGGTTTGTTATCATATCAGCAGGAAAAGCATCATTCTCGGCACCAGCAGATGCACAAGTGTCATCCAGTTTGTACTGATCTGTTGAACAGCGAACATGTAATGTAAGGGACAGTCAGAATATTACAAGATAGGCTTTTAACACCACAGAAGCTATCTCTATTTAACATGCTGAGAAGACAAGCTATTCACAAAAGACTTGTCTAGATGCCTATGTTCCTTTGACTCCTTAGGGATTTTGTAGATGCTGACGGCCAGTGTGAACTTTTAAATCAATTTATTGCATATGTTTACATATGCAATAAAACCATTTGCCATATCTTTTAACTACACGGAGAGTGAATTGTTGACCATGAGCTGATCTGACCTTTTCAGGTCTAATCAAGAAATCCGAAATACTATTTCAGCCTGTCAGCCCCAGTAATAGGCAGTAAGAGTATGTGGATCTAACTGAAAATGTCAGATGTGCTCTAATATGCAACCCGTCAAAATTACGATGCATATGAACCAAGAACTGGTTAAGAATATAAATCTGTAACATCCAGGGTCCATCTCAATTGCTTAGATAAATTGTTCTGCCATTTGTACAAGCTAGCTAAAAACATGCATTAAAAGCAGTTCTTTGGAATACATGTGAGATGTACAGCCACTTAAATATTAAAGTGATCCTGAAAGAGGGGTGATAACACCAGGTTAGAATATTACTGGACAAAACAATGACCAGTGAGAATACCAGCATTCTAATTAATGTCTTGCTAGCTTTGTTGTGTGGTAATATAAGACCAGTGGTCTCGTGTAACCTCAACATTTTCCTTTTTAATTTCAATAATTTGCTGCTTGTGAAGTTTTCACTCTTTCCGGAAATAATCCATTATATAAGATGAGGTGTCCTTATCAATCTTATTTATTTGTGTTGAATTTTTCATAGTCTTGTGCTTTTTATAAAAATGTCTACTTCTGTTTTTAAAAGCTTTCTAAAAACCAGCACTGTTGTCAGTAGGTTATGGTGTTTGATGATATTCAGTTTCTTTGTTTTCTTTGTCTGTCTTCAAAGTTTCTCTTCTTGGTATTTTACTAGATGTTTAGATCTAGGATACATGTCTTTAATAATTATTTATCAAACGTAAGACTAATTATTCGTTGGTATAATTTCTGGATGATGAAGTTAAATTTGAATTAAAGTGGATGGGCACAATGAAAAGCAACTTTACATCCTAAGAAAATAGTATTTTCTTAGCTAAACAGTCTATTAAGATTGTTTAATCTTAGAGCAGTTGTTAGACTAAAATTGAGTTTGTTTTTAATCTAATTTCGAGTAGTTCATGCAATTTGAGACATTATTAACTGAACTTCTACCATTAGTAAAATGTTGTTGAAACTAGAATTAAAGTGAAGTATGGGAAGCGCTGCTGAACCGATAACTTTGCATTAAAGAATAGTGCATATTTTAAACTGCCCAGCTAATGCTATTCAAACTGTTCTTGTGAGGCAATGCTGCCCTCCCCTGGTATGCTGCGGAAAATAGGAATTTATCCCAGTCCAAATAAGTTCTAGGGCTTGCTATTAAAGAGAAATTGCTGAATTGGTGAAAACTGTGGAAAAAAATGCTCTTAAAAAGACTGTTATGTGCCTTCTTTATTACAAGACGCACACATAATGTGTAACAACATTTGTGCAGTGCTTTTTATATATGCATGGTGCAGATGTGGATGAATGTACAAATAACATACAGGAATATATGGTGAATGCACAAGACAACAAATTGAGGGCTCAATTAAGTTTGGGTGGCAATTTGGAGGATGAATTAACGACAGATACCAGCTAGCTGCTGAAAGTCAGCAGAATCAATTACAACAAACTTTTGTTTAACAGTATAGTTTTGTCTTGTGTATAATATTTAGAGATTTATTATTGGTGTTTACATGTTCTGCAACAGAAAAGTAAATAGGACCACGGCCAACAATTGCATAGGAATAGGATTAGCTCTTGTGCAAATGAGGCTGTAGCAATACCATCGTTTCTTGTCAGGGGCTATGGATTACAAAGACACCATCTTAGGCTCAGGTAGTCCCTCCACTGCACATTCCTGAGAGTTGAGGAAGGTAATCCAAGGAAATATAATTGCATGGTCTATTCTTAATATATTTTTTCAGACATCTGTTATTAACTACTGCTGGAGACAGAATATTGGGGTAAAAGGTTCTTTAGATTTGTTTTCTTTTTTTTCTTTGTCTCATCTTCGAAGTTTCTCTTCTTGGTATTTTACTAGATATTCAGATCTAGTGTTCTGGCTATGGCTGGTGTCTGTTAAATAAGTGTGTTGCTGTTTGCTTTAATTTTGTCTCCCTTCCATTTATCACTGCTAGGCAATTTCGCCAGCATCCAAATAGCAGAGAGAGATGAGCCTTGTTTCAAATACAAGAATTTTAGTTTCTACATCTGACTCCAGTAAAGTGTCTGTGGTGGGGTTTGAGTTTGTTTGTTTATAAGGTATAAAATATCCCTTCCTTTTTACAATTAAGACTTTGCTAATTGCTGGACAACTTGCAAATCACTGCTCTTCCTGTGGAATATGACTTGACTTTGTTTTGTTTGCTCCTCATCCCTCTTACTGCACTGGAGATCACGTAATGCTAGAGAAAACTGGAGACAGTATGTTAAAATATCTGGTTCATGTATTTTTTCATATCTTAAATGTGAACAAATTTCCAGACTCTGGATCAGAGGGTTTTTTTTTTTCCCCCAGACTAGTTTGCTAGAGGACTTTTGCTTGAGCATGAGTTCTTGTCTGCTACTTAGGGTCAGGTCACTTGGGAGATGTTTTAATAACTATGACGTTCCCACCCTCACCAACTCTGGTCCAGCAGCATGAACAGTGGTGTGGTGGCTGTTGATATTTTACTACTACCTTTTATAATAAGGTCCTAGGAGTTGTTTTGTGCCTATGGTGCCTGCCAGTCCACAGGACAGGCGTGGACCATTTTGAACTAGACTCCAACTACTCACTTACCTGTAGATGGGACCTGAAGATCCCAGCGGTCCTTCACAAGCTTCTCTTTTTGAAGTGACTTTGCTGACTGCAAAATAGTAGTATTTACCTTCATGCACATAAGCTAGTAGGCTATAGTAAGCAATCCTTTTGAGGGCTAGCTGTAAAACCACTGCAAGTATGGATTCACAATAGTTAAAGGTGACCTAAATCAACACTGAGATGCCTTGTTCTGTCTTTTCCTTTGTGACACGCTGCCACAACAAAACCAGTTTTATATGCCTGGGGCTTTTTTTGTTGTTTGTTTTTTGGTGTTTTTGTTGGGGGGTGGGGTGCTAGATTAGTGTTCTGTCAGTGTAGCATCCTAAGTCATGTCATCAGATGGTTATATAAATGGCAGTGGTGACATTCCTTGACCTAGAAAAAAAAATTTATGTGTGTAACAGTTTTCTTTCTTCATAACTTTTGCAGGTATTGGGGCTGCTGGTGTGGACCCTGATTGCTGGAACAGAATACTTCCTATATCCAGCCTTTGGCTGGGTGATGTTTGTGGCTGTGTTTTACTGGGTTCTCACCGTCTTCTTTCTGATCATCTACATGACAATGACCTACACCAGGATCCCCCAGGTGCCATGGACCACAGTGGTAAATACATCCATTCTTTATTGTTTCAGGTCTGCTGAATTACGAAGAGAATAAAATATTGATACATTCTATGGGTGTAGTTAACCAACTGTACTTGTGCTTGTTGCAGACTTTTGCCTAATTATCTGTGCCTGTGTACCTGCAGTGTTTAACCTTCATACCACCCAGACATTTAAAAAACACTTTTCCTATGATGTTTCACCATTTTTTTCAGCAGTTGATGTAGTGACTTGTTTTTTAATAATGTGTGTGCAACTGATACATACACACAGTGACCTCCTTTTTTTTCCCCTGTAGTGATTACATCCCACAAATAATATATCTGTTGCTGTCTCTGAGCTAACAGACCTGGCCATATAGCTTAAACAGCAGAAATCCCTACCTGAATCAAAACCCTGAGTTGGAAGTGGGACCCTGGCTCTTAAAACATGAGTCTCCCTCTGCTAAAGTAAAAGCTAAGGTGGTTCAGAGGCAGCAAGTCTGACAAGCCATATATGGCCTACTGTGAAAATGGTGCTGAAAATTAGTGTTATTTATATGTAAAATACATGCCATGTAATCCTTTGCTTTTAGCTCAAGACTTAATGCAAATCAGATAAACAGCTAATGTAAGTACAGAAAAATTCACAGGCACTTAAAATTCAGATCCAGTTTTTGTTGTTTGAACAAGCCTAGCTAGCTGTACCTCTCAACAGTATATTTTAAAACGATTTTCATAACAGGCTGGTGCTCAGGATAATAGATCCTAAAATTCATTGTTCTCTCAGCCAACTGGCTATTTGTGACCCATCCAAGAATTATGATAAATTTCAGCTTTGCATTTGTCTGATACATGAGATAGTGATTTGTTGTGGTTTTTTAGCAGCTAAAGATTATTGACTAGAGTTCTGTTATTTTTATGATAAAATACATTTGACTTCTGTGTTGCAAACAGCTTGTTATCAGCTATATTGTGTACGTGACTAAAACTGAATACTTTTATTTTTGTCTTCACCTTTGCTGCTGTAATAAATAGCTAGCTATAGCAATTACTAATAAGAACAACTAGGATTATGTTCAGATAGCTTCCCTGTTTTTGGGTTTCACGACCAGCAATTACCATTAAGGCTGTAACACTGCTATAGAAATGTTGGATTATTTCAATTACAGCAGTAATGTGTCTGGGTACATTTAAAGGTGTGGATTTTTTTATTTTCCCATTGCATTAGATGTAAGTAAAGTACATTCAAAGGGAAAGCATCTTTGTATTCATTTGGATACAGCTTTAGTCATTACCCCTCTTTCATCAGTTTAACACTATTAACAGACAACAGCTGCATATAAATGAGTTGCCCCTGATCTATGTGGTAGGCAAGCTGGAGTACTTGATTTGTTTCTACTTCATATTGAGTATATTTCTTGCTCTGAGTTCCAAACATACTGTAGAGAAGATCACATAAATGTAGGTCCAAATGATGGTCTTCTTTTATAGTTAAAGGGTAATATGAAGAGAAAATAAATGCGAAATAAATAAAAGATGCTTGCATTCCAGCCTGGTTTGCCCTGAGGTATTAAAAGAGCTGTCGGGAGCAGCTTTTGAATTGGACCTCTGCTGCTCCGGGCTGACCAAGAGGAATGTTGGGTCTCTTTTCAGAGAGATGTTGTTAATGTCTTCATTCAAAAGAGCACGACACACACCTTTTTGAGTGAGTGAGTTTGTCCACCTTCCCCCTATTCTCTAAAGTATCCTGAATTTCAGTCCTGGCTAGTTATTGCTCTGCTTCCTTAGGCAACACTTAGCTCAAACTGTGCCTATTGTATGCAGTATCCAAAATTACCTCTGGACTTCTCTGTCATAAATTCACTTTTTGCAGGTTAAGCACATTACCAAATTGCTTAAGATGCAGTTACTTTTACTGCAAATTAACCCAAAGGACGTGCTTCAAAACTGTCTCTCCTTAATAGTGAAAGTTAGCTAAAACAATCAATGGAAGCTTTTAAAATCTGGTAAATTTGAATTTAAGAAGCAGATGGTAATTTAGCATGAACCATTTGGTTTGAGTAATATATTGGCAGTAAAGGCCCAATCAGCTTGCATTGCATTCCATCTTCCCCAACAGTGTTATTTCCCAGAGCAGCACTTCTAAAAATTATGTGCTTTTTTCTTTTCTACATGACAAGATATTGCAGGGATTTGTAGCTTTCCAGGGTAATTGAGTCTTTTTGGAAGGGAAATCTAAAAATAACAACAACAAACACTGTAGGCAATCAAATTTAGAGTTTGTAAATCAGTGCTTTACAGAAGTTCACCTGAACCTGCCAATTGTTGGCATATTATCTTCAAATTGACGGTTTGATATTTTATAACTGTAATGCCCAGATAAGAGAGGCAAGATTTGTGAATAGAGATAATACCTTTTATTAGATCAGCTGATATAGGTGAGATAAACCCCACTCCTTTATAAGTGTGTGAATCAGCCCTTAAGTGCCAGGCCTTGGACTCCATCTGAGTGATGAGGCAACTGCCCATGGTTCCCTGCGGAAAGGCGCCTAAGTGGCTTTTTTCCAAATCCCCTGAAGTTGCAAGGACTTAGGAGCCACAGGAGGATGTGCAATGCCCTTCAGCCTACTCTGAAAACTGTAGGGAGGCTTTTTGCATGGGAAGTCTCATATAGGCAGTGGTGACCCTAAAGACTGACATGTTGACAGATGACAGCACAGCATGCTGCTCTCTGGAGGGGCCTGCAATTGAGAAAGCATGTGTTTGGGAAATGGCTTCTCTTCAGAACACTTTGAACCCTGTGTGTCACAGGAGTGTGCAGCAGACTCCACCGTGTCTGAAGTAAACTCTGCCAGAACCGAATGTCCTGGAGATGGATGTGAGGAGCTTCCATACCAACCATTTCAAGCTGTTGATCCATGCTTCAGTGCACTGAGGGAATTGCTGATGTGGATACAGCTGTTGTTGCTGCCTTCTGAACTTCTCTTCTTGTGCTGCAGCTCTTTTTTTTAGATTCTGCAAGAGTTGGTGACTAGTGAATTCAGTAATGAAAAATTGACATATATTCCTAGCATGCACTGAGTCACACCATGGAAATTAATAAGTCAGAGCTGCACCAGTATAGCAACATTTAGAGACAAATGGGGCAATAGAGTTAGGGTTATGGTATTTGTGTGACACTCTGGAGTGCAAACGTGGGGCCAGAAGCTGAAGGGAGCATATCACGTGCAGCATCAGGATCTTGCCTATGCTGAGTTATCAATTCTTGCAGTTGTAACTAGGTGCAAAGCTTGTCATGGGTATTTCACTTAAACATGGCACCAGTGAACTGAAAGTATAGTTTATGGCCAAATCCATATGCTTTAGACAAGTAGCAGGGTAGAGGATTTTAAATAAGAATGAACTTCCTATAGCCATGACCAAATAGTGAGTAAGTAAAGGACAAAGTATTAAAATTACGTACTTAAAAAAAAAAAAGAAAAAATCCCTCATACCTTTTTATCTGTCTTTCATCTTCTTAGACTTCCATTCTCTCTTCCTTTCCTGTTCTCTCTCACATGCATAACCCAAGCAAATGCCTTTGTTTGTTCTCTATAGCATTATGAGAGATCAAGGTTATCTGCTTTGCTTCTTTCTTAGTAGTGAATGTAGGTACCCTGAGATATTAACTCTGTTCCTTGGAAGAGAAAAAGCAGCATCTGCCATGGATGGGTTTTAATGACCCATGTAGTCCATTCAGACTGTTTTCCTCCTTGGTTTTATCCGTTTCTTTCTCCTTTCAAAAACAGGCAGAAGGGAAACGTACTGAAAGGTGAAAGAATACGACTGAAAAGATTACACCTTCTTTATCTCCTTCAGAAGTGGAGAAAACAAAGTTTTGGAAGCTTTATAGACATTGTTCACATGCCATGAGTTACTGATTCCTGCAGTGTATCTTTGTGTAGATTAGAAATGTAATAAAACTGCAGTTTTGTTTTGTTTTGTTTTTTCATGTTGTGTCCTATTCTTACTGCCTAACACTTGGATTGTGATATCCAAGCTGTGTCCTTATTTTCACGTATGGAAAATCACAGCACACCAGCTTTAAGACTTTTCTGGATTTAATGTGATGGAGAGAACAGTGTGTCCAACACGTGCTTTAATGTTTATGGATCTTCAAAATAAGGAGTTAAATTTTAATCTTGCAGACAGAAGCTTGGAAGAAGGTAAAAATAGTTAAGAATCACATTGTGTACATTATATTTCAGAGGAGAGTTTTGTAGCATTGGAATAGAAAATGGTAACAAATGCGTGTGCATGTTAAGTAATTAAGTTGTTTGTTTTTTTCAACAGGGTTTGTGTTTTAATGGCAGTGCCTTCGTTTTGTACCTCATTGCTGCTATTGTAGATGCATCTTCAGTTACCAAAGAACTGGACAGTCACAATTACAACAGCTGGGCAGCTTCTTCAGTGAGTTATTTTTTTGTTTTAATCAGTTCTATGTCCAAAAAAAGTTACGTCAAGCGAAGGCTTGCTGGATGTGTGGGTTGAAATGCATGTGTTCTAGATTTTGAAAATCTGCAGACTTCTGCATACAAAACCTACAGGTAGCTGTAATATGGCTCATAGTTTCTCAAGGTGACTAGAAATTCCACCAGGAGATGACAGTCACATCAGAGAAGGCTGTAATGTTTTTAAGATCATACTGCTTTTCCCCTCCTTGCCTCATTTATTACTACCTCTCTGGCAGAAGTTACAACCTGCACATCAGAGTAGACAACACAGATTGTGTGAATACCAAGTCACCTCCATGTACCTCCATGAGTTGGGTGTAAAACGCCTGAAAAATCATGTAACTTCCCAGTGTTTTATAGTGGATGCAAATCACTAATTAGTCCAACATTACTGTCTTACTACTTAGATTTGGAAATCCAAAGCAGTCAATCAAAGTGCGTTAAAACCAACTTTTTTAAAAGACCCTCGTCGCTTTCTGAGTAGGTGAGCACCTTGTCTAGCTAAGTTAAGGGAGTTGTAAATGAACTTTACACATGTTGTGGCAACAATAGTCAAATTCAATTGTATACCACAATTGCGAATTACAGTTACTTTGCTAACTGTTCATGCTTCTGCAGTTGTCCTCTGCAGAATCCTGCCTTCTGTCTGAAGCTTATTGTATACGGCCATCAACACAGACTTGAACACCTGCTCTGTTTTTGTCTTGGGAATTGGATAACAACGTCCCTGTCATTTCAGTGGTGTTCAGGGTCTTCTCCCCTTGGCAGTTCGTAACTATTGATCTGTTACTCAGCCGCTGCTGTTGACAGGCGCTTGCTTGCTGCTAGATAAGCGTCCATGCTGATTCAGGTTTTATGCAAAATGCATGAATGCTCAGTGTCTCATGGGATATTTGGAATCTCTTCTAATACCTCCTAATGGTGTTTATCTAATGCACTGTCTAAATAAACTATTAAATGTAGATTGTTGCTTTCTGAACCCATTGAAGGTTTCATGGATAGATGTTTGCGAGAATTTAGCAAATCATTTATCCCCAACAGTCGTTCTCTGTTAGAAAGATTTTAGATGGAACTTTTATATCATAAGAAACAAAATTATTGGGAAAGAATGCTGCAATTTGCTATTGTAATAATGTTTTACATCTTCATCTATGATTTTCAGTTCCACAAATTAAATTTGCTAAGACAAGACTCACCAAGAGCCCTCTGTTGGAGGGCTTAGATTTACTGCCTGTATGCATGCTTAGTAGCGACCTGCTCTCAGAGCTGAAGTGTCATCCAAGCCAATGATGGTATATAAGGAAGAAACATTGGTAGAATCATAAAATATTTTAGGTTGGAAGGGACCTCTGGAGGTCATCTGCTCCAATTCTCTCCCCTTTTAAAGCAGGGCTAACTCATATCAGGCTGCCAGGGCCCTGTTCACTTGAGTTTTGAGTATTTCCAAGGACAGCTATTCCACAATGCTTCTGGACTTCTGCTGCCATGTTTGATTACTCTCACTGTAATTTTTTTCCCTAATATTTAATTTTAATTTTGCTTCTTGTAACTTGGTTTGTTCCCTTTTGACCTATCATTGCCCACCTCTAAGAAAAGCAGTGTTAATCCTGTTTGCAGTGTCAGCTTTATTTGGTTCAGTTACCAGCACAAAACATTCTGGTCTTATCAGAAGACCATTCTGAACATTGTCTATTTTGAACAACATGCAGTGATTAACAGGAACTTAACCACTGGCACTGAATTGGACTTTTATCAGTACAGCTGAAATAGTTCACAGCTGTTCTTTGGTTTCTCTGTGCCTATGCTACAAGGACTGCAGAAGCAGCTCCGCTGATACTGTGTAGTTTTAATCTTTAAACAAAATAAATCTAGCCTGCTACAGAAGGCTTGTTCTGTAATTAATTTCAGACAAAGTAGCAGTATCTCAGCCTGGTTGCCGTCACTGCTCTTTGCGCTGAGGAGTATCTTTATTCATCAGTAGAGGACCTCTGGAATTGGGAACCTACTCTGTACTGCTGTTTGAGAACATGTTTGGGCCTGCATTTGAATCCAAGTTTTCTCTGTAAACAAACCTGTTTTGATGCACAGTGTGGCACGCTGAGGTGCAGGTGGGCTGTAGGCAATTCTTGGAACATAACAGCAGTGTAGGAGTGTTAGCTTGAGCTCACACTGTCCCATGGACTATCCCTCAGTCTTTACCAGCAACTGATGTTAAAAGCAGCAAGTACAGGATTGGTGAGAGTCCAATCTATAAGATTTCATGCTGAGGCAGTTACAGTGTGGAGATAGGAGTTGAAACATGCCATGTTTTGTCTGTTTCTAGGCCCATATTTCTAAGCATAGTATAAGCTTATTTACACAGTGTTAGCTGTGATGGTGACACAAGTACAAGGAGGTGAAACAGTGCCATTTTAGTCAGCCTGCTATTTCTCCTTTTTCCAAATCCCGTAACTATTTTTTAATAGAAATGACGGTATTCTCATATATCTTTTTTTTCTAATATTTTTTTTCCCCCTTCTCTCTACAGTTCTTTGCCTTCGTGGTTACCTCCTGCTATGCTGGAAATACCTATTTTAGCTTTATATCTTGGCGATCACGAACATTGCAGTAAATATTTCATTAAAGTGCTTTCTGTAGTATAAAACATCTTGAGGATTACACTCTTGACAAAAGCTTGGAAGAAGGATAAGGTCTTTTTGAATGCTTCTGCTAGGATATATGTTAAACTGAGATTAAATGAATATTTATAATACAATTCCATCTTTAGAGACATCTAACGCTGACTTTGTACTGTACAATAAAATTTCATACTGCTTCCTTTAGAATTAACATGGTATTTTTCTAGACATTGTATAGATGATATTACTGAAGTTTTAATAAAGCTTGCTCAGACAATGTGCCAATTTTGTAAATGTAACTTTTAAAATGTTACAGGTATACTTTTGATACTGACTGCTACAAATCAAAACTAAGATTGATACTGTCTTATTATTATGTATAAAAAGTGACATTGTGAAGAAAAAACCCACCCAAAACTTTAAAAATAAATAAATAATTGACTGAACTGTGCATGTTTTGTAAACTGGGAATAGAAGGTTGCTTTTCAAATTTCTGTCAGAGTAAAATATGTACTACTAAGAATTCTGATGATCCTGTCAGTTTGCATATTCTAACAGCTTCTCACAATCATGAGATTGCTTTTGGAACCTCTTAGTGTAGGTCTGAAGCTCGCTGAAGGAAAGTTCCGCCCAAAACACATTATCTTAACAGGTTTCTCAAATCCAGCAGGCTCCAAGGCGTAAGTCTAGACAACAGTCCCTTAGTGCTCAGTGTTGAACCTACTGAGAATATCACAAAACACCTACTAAAGGTAATACATTTTGTTTCTCAGGGGACTGTGGTTTTTCTCTTTTTCTCCTCCGATTAGGCCATTAATCTGACCTAATTAAAATCTGGGCTTCTAAATCCTATTAAGTGATAGAAAGATTAAATCCACAGAAGAATTGTCAAGACACCAGTGCTAAAACAATTTCCTCCCCCTTTTCTTGTCTGCTGGCATCATCTGTGAGTTGTTAGTTTAACAAATGAAGTTTTTAATTTGATGCTTATATTTAAATATCTTTGACTCAGGCAGAAGTATGACAGAAGATTGACTTTCAAAACAGATACCTTTGAAAATTACTTTAAAATACAAATTACCTAAGGAACTTTTTCCAGGAATTATGTGGAGAGTGTAAGGTCATCATTGTTTCGTGATATTATATAAAGTTTTCCTCGCTTAAAACTCCTAGTAAATCTTTTGTTCCTGGATTAAGAAGATGTGAACTCTCTTCCAGTCTTCAAAAACTTACTTGGATGATTATATATGGTAGTAGAGAAATCTCACTGCTTAAAAAATCTTTATTTCTCCCTGTAACTAAATGGTGTGTGCTTACTTATGTGCATGCCCTGCAGCAAAGAAGATTTAGCAGCAGCCAGCTAATTCTGTTCTCAATCACGTTGTTTTGTTTTTGATTATCTGTCCAGTCACAGGGTTTCAGTGCAAGGGAAGCCAAGATATTATTTTAAAACCTATATTTGTCTGCAGATTGCATCTGGCCTGTACAACAAAGGTCAGGCTGTCTGCTGCTTGCTAAAATTACCCAGTTGTGAGAAGGAAGAAGGGCTACCAACTATGCATTTTATCTACACAGATAAAATGTGCCATTAAAATCCCATATGCTCTTTTCCATTGCTGGGAAAAAATCAAAGGCATAAAAATGATCCAAATGTCAACTGATAAAATGTGACTAGAAATATAGCCAGAATTAAAATCTCATCAATGGTTTCTCATAAGTAAAAATGCTTTTGTAATAATAGACATTCTTTCTCAAATGGTATTTGATATACCTGTCTCCAAAGGACGTGACCATGCACAAATGTTTCATGATTTTGTGGTAACTGCAATGGTCTGGTCCTAACCCAGACAACATCTGTGGACAGAGGTAATAGAGCTAAGAGTGAGTAATATTTTTTATCCAGTTTACCAAAAACTGTCATGGAAACAGTGTGTTACATGTCAGAATAAACCTATTAATGGAGGACAAAACCACACTGTTACCAGGTAAGGAATGATTCTGGCAAAATATCCACCACCTCTCTCAGTCTTTCTCAGCTGTCTTGTTTCTCAGCTGTTCCCCAGGTACCAACTGTCTGTTTTTCAAGCATTCTGAGTATCTAGTTAAAATTGGAGGAATCAGTACAAGCTGAGAATTGCTTCTGAAGTTTGCTCCTTCTGTTTCAGGCCTGAAGAAAGGCATAAGCTTCTGAAAGGTTATCTGCTTCTTCCAGCGTATTAGTCTTAAATACTGATTTGCAAACTATGACTTATATAAGCCTTTGTATGTACTAATACTGATAAAAAAAAGATAAGCTAGCTGTGGTTTATCATGTAACTATTGAAACAAGACTTGTGGCTGCAGGCATTGCTTAGCATTCGTAAGATTGAAAGAAACCTTAGTTAAAAGAAAACTGGTCAATGATGAAATCATTAGTGAAATTCTTAATACAGATAATAAAATGCTGATTAACATGTAGAATGAAGGTATTTGATATAAATGACTTGTTTCAGACAAACAGTCTCTCTGAAAAAATCTAAGTGACCCACACATATAAAGGATACTTGATGTCAACTTATGGCCATCCATTTATTAAGGAGTTGTCACTACCTCTTATCATCATCATGCATGAAGCACTTAAGATGAGGTAAATAGCGTGAGAACTATAATAAAGACTTCAAATTCAGCAGTGTTTTAGATGGACTTTGTGCCAGTGGTTTACAGAAGATGCTTTATTTCTGAGTAGAAAATATGACTTGTTACTCTACTGTTAATTTAAAGGCATTTCTATTTCACTGGGCTGAACTTGGATCAGCAGGGCCCCAGTCATATACACACTTTGAAAAGAACTAAAGCTGAATCAGTGGGTAAGAAAAATATAATTCTTAACAGGAAGTACAGAAGTTACTAGAACCTTTTCCTGCAGGGCTTGCAAGAAGCCTATACCTGTGCCTGCTTCTGAACTTTAAGAAGAAAAGAGAGGGGGAAAAAAGCAGCTGTTTAAAAAAACCCCCAAACACAACCTCTTTCTCAGCAGCTAGCATTTTACTAGCAATGTTGTAGCTTTGGTATCTAATTAAATGAGATAAAATATGGTGAGACAGGTAGCATCTTTTATCGCAACTATGAGCTGGCTTAATAAAAGCCCAAAAGTATATACTGCTTAGTCTGTTACAGACCATTGAGCAAACTCTGCCTTGCTCATGTAAATTACTTGCGCTAGCCCCGTACTTGTGCTGGAGATTATCGGAATTTACCTGAAGTTTAGTTGCTGAAGGAGCTATTAAATACCAGCTATGAACAGAATGTGCATCCAAACTGCAGCCCAGAGCAGCAGGTGGGGTCACTACTCTGAAAAGCGGCACATGCCTAGCTCAGGGGCCAGCTCTTACCTCACTTGTCAGAAAGCAAAACAAGTTATTTTTAAACTTGAGGAAATATACAGTTTCCTCTGCTGAGTTCTGTTAGTATCGCTGCATGATTTAATTCAAACAGTGGCATCGAGACATTTGCAGAGTCGCTACGCTTTTGCCTGTCGCTGCTCATTTAATGCAAGTGTTTTATTTCTTGCCAGATCACGAATCGGAAGGTTTTGGGGGGCTTTTTGGTGGCAGTAACTGTTGGGCGGGAAGACGCCGCCTCCCACCGGCCCAGGGCTCTTTTCCCCCTTCGGGTGAAGCTACAAAGCGCCGCGGGGGCCGCTGCGGGGCGGAGCTGCCCTCCCGGGCCCCCACCCCGAGGGGTGCCCTCTCCCCGCTTCGAAACGTTCGCTTCGGCCTCGGCTCCCCCGTAACCCAGCTGCGGCGGGGGGCGGCCCGGTGCCTGGGGGC